TGCCCAGTCTAGCTGTGAGGCTGAGATCTATGCCGGTGCCATGGCGGCACAGGAGCTCCGCTGGCTGACCTTCTAGATCACCGACTTAGGTGAGCGGCCTAGCTCTGCCCCGGTTCTGTACGCTGACAACAGGGCCATGATCCTCCAGTGCTAGGAGCCTCGACTTGAGGGCAGAGCGAAGCACATCCAGCCTGGTACTTCCTCCTGCGCGATTACAGCAGCGTCGCCAGGCGTGCGTAGTACACTTGGCCTCCGTTGCCAACACAGCTGATATCTTTACTAAGACACTTGCGCCTAAAGATCATCAGCGGCACTGTTTGCAGCTTGGTCTAGTTCTTGTAGACTCTCACTTGCTAGGACCTTGATTGTGGCCTTGTGGCTTCTCTGGACAATAGCTTAGGGCCTTGTAGTGCTGCCCTGGTTTGCTCCTATCTTGATTGTACTCTTGCTGACTGGTCTTCGGACCCCTGTCTCAGAGGTTGGACTAGTAGTGCCACCCTGAGCTGTGTGTCTCAACACTCCCCCTTATCTAGCCTAGGGGGTGTTTCAACTTATACATATATTTGTATGTAGAAATTTTAGGCTATATAGGTTTTTGTTCTTAGAGAGTACAACTCCAACCCTATATCTCTCCTGTACTCTCGTGTTTCTAATCATACTCCTATTCTAACACCCTCAACCCCTATGATTTGCCAGTGTTTGTGGGTGTCTTTGACTGGTTGCGAGAGCCCCTCCTTTCGCGTGGGGCGTGCCAGGTCTCTTGCGAGGTTGGGACCCTCGCTATTTTTGCGAAACCCCTTCAAGGTTCAAATTCCTTTGAACCTTGAAGTTATTGTATACCGCATTTCCCCGTGTATAAGACCCGCCGAAATAGTCACCCCATGGGTGGCATATACGGGGGATAGCTTATGATATTGTGCATTTTTTAGAGCACCCCCTTTTTTTAGTACGTAATATACATAACACCCCCCATCGAAGATTTGTAGATTTTACTGGACTAGCATCAAGGTTTAGACATTAGACAATAGCTTTACCATTAGTCTAGAGCCTATCCATTGTGCGAGGCATTTCTAGTGCATTTTCGACTACCTAAGCTAGCTATCACTACCATTCACTCAGCACACACAGATAATCCAACAGCTAGCTATATGTCCTAGCAGGTAAGTCAATAGTTAGTATCTGTCGTCATCCGCATCGTGGTCCTCTCCTGCATGCCACACCTCGGCATCTTCGTCATCACTGGCGATGTCATCCCAGTCAAAGTCATCAGTCCAGCGGGACGCAGCCAGGCCCGCCAGAACCTCTGCCGCATGCATCTCTATGCCTTCGTCGCCTTCGACAGCTGATATCTCCGCCTCTGTCGCTGCTTCTGTAGAGCTTGATGGTGCTGCTGCTGCTGCTCCTGGATTCCCAGACGCCTCTGATGCTGGCGCGGCTGTTGCAGCTCCCGATGCATCGGATGATGAGGCAGTTGCTGCAGCTTCAATCTCAGCCTCGACATCGGCAATCGTCTTCCTCTGAGCTGGGCGTGGCGGTCGGCTCCAAATATTCCGACTCGTAGTATGGGTTCAGCGCCCCGCTCTCTTCCATTTCGGCATGGACGTCCTCCATGACTTCGACCTCAGCGTCGTCCCGCATGTGGGCGAGGATCACCTCGTCCTCCGTGCCATCGGTCGCGTTGGAAATGCCGCACGTCTTGAACGCGCGGCGGATGAGTTCAGCTGGCACCGCGGCCCAGGCGTCGGCAATCCACTGCAGCACGAGCTCGGATGGCGGCTTGCAGAGATTCCCTACAGGGGAAAACACAACGACGAGACAATAGGTGGGGGATTTAGGAGTAGTGGCGGAGAAATGCAAGGCATGGTTTAAAAAATCACGATGCGGGTAGAGGTTTTAAAGTAAAACAATGAAGATGTCACTCACCAGCAGGGGTTGTGGACTCGCAGCCGAACTCTTCAAACCACTCGCTGTAGGACCTCCGGACATGCGCCTTGATGCACCGGTTTACCGCCACGTCTAGAGGCTGCACGATGGGCGTGCAGCCGCCGGGGATGACAGCCTTGGATAGCTTGAAGAGTCGCATCAACTAGGACACTCCCTCCGTCAGGTGTCCCTTGTACGAATCGAGGACCACCAGAGCCTTCTGACGGCCACCGCGCCGTGAGGGTATTGAGCGGAGAAACGGCGCCAGGACGGTGGTGACCCAGTCCTTGACATGAGTCTCAACCATCCACCCTTTCTCCTGGGCCTTGATCACAATTCCTGCACAAGCGCAAGGTAGGAAACATTAGAGTTCGCCCTCGAAAGACGGTTACGAAAAAATATGTGCGGTGGCGGCACAAAAAACAGGCACGAAATCCTCACCGGGCGGGACACGGATCCGAGGTAGTGTCTTCCGCTTGAAGTTGACATACGGCTTCAGTTTCTTGCCACTTGCTGTGACGGCCAGCATGACGGTCAGCCTCTCCTTCTCGTAGCCGGCCGTGCGCACATGGACAGTTCTCGAGCCCCGGACTTCGAGTGTGGTCTTCTGCGGCATCTCCAAGAATAGTGGCGTCTGATCCGCGTTGATGATAAGATCGTCGGGGTAGTCGTTGAGCATGCGGAGCTGCCGAACGAACTCCCAGAACTTCTCGACCTTCGCGTTAAGGTCTGCCAATGAAAACAATAATAATAATAAAAAACCAGACAAATCAGAAGTACGGTCATCAAACTACGAAGCACGACGAGAGCTAGAGCAGATGACGAGGGCAGGGAGTATTTGCGGCACGTCAAATTACGTACCTGCAGTCATGCGCTGGCCCATCTTCGTCTTCACGCGCTTCGTTAGTCCCCAGCGCGCGCAGAACCGGAAGGTCCACTGTGACGAGGCGCGCCAGTCGATGCCGGGGTGGTGCTTACGCATGTACTTCCGACTCCATTTCTGCAGCGTGCCGATTGAGACCGCCAGCCCTCGCGCGCGCTGGCCCAAGAACTTCTTGTACAGCTCGCGCTCCATAGTGGGGTACTTCGCCGTCCTACCGGAGCCGATAAGGCGACGCCTGCAGCCAGCCGAGGCAGTGAGCCGTGTCTTGTTCTTCTTTCAATCGCGAATCTGGCACGGCTGCACTCCAGCCATCCGAGCAAGGGAGCGGTTCGACATCTCCGGGTCCGCCTCCAACTTCGCCAACCAGTACAGCTTCTCGGTTGCCGTCCGTGCGAGTCGCTTGCGATTCGTTCTGCGGGCCCGGGGGGAGGGAGGTACAGCATCACGGTTACGAAGAGGCATATTACGACGGCATTGCGCTTGCGGGAAACGAGGCACGATAACGCAAGGAAGTGGGCGAGAAGGTTCAGCCTGGCGGTCGTCAGCCTCAGCCTCCTCCCAAAACAGGTCCTCGTCATCCTGCCAATCGTTGTCCCACCCCGGGGGACGTGTGACCACCAGCGACGAGAGAGGTGGCGGAGCAGGGGGGGCCGGGGGCGCAGGAGGAGCAGAAGGTGCAGGGGGCGCTGGTGGCGCGGGTGGCGCTGGAGGAGCGGGAGGAGCGGGAGATGCAGGCGGATATCTAGGAGCCGAAGGATCTGGTGGGAAAGGACGGATCAACGTCTGATTCCCGAAGGGTGGGCGATGAGCTCGCAAAAGTGACACACCACTAACTGCTCGAGCGGCCATGGGGGGAAATTTCGACGAGGGATAGCGAGCTAGGCGAGATTGGGCAATGCCCGAGCCTCTGTTAGAGAGCCCGGGCATTGCGAAGAGTTTGATCGAGGCTGAGAGGAGCGACGAGCAAGAATGACGATGCGGCAAGAGAAGGTTGGAGAAGAACCGTGGCAGACGCCCCAAGCCGAAGCGCGCACGGCTCTGCAAGAAGCGATGGGACCATGCATGCTGGTCCCATCAAGAAGTTTCCGTAAAGGAATCTGGTCGCGCACTTCAACCTGCGGCTGTTACGTTGTAAAAACACGGGATTCCTAGCCGTCGATGAAATCTTGTCAGTTGCAGGAGGCAGCTTTCCTATTGTGCTGGCAGGACCGGCTTCCTCGGATTGGCTGCAAACGCAGCACGTCATGACGTTATCGCCAGGCTGGCCCGAGTGGAGGTTGGGGATCGTCATCCAAACCTCGCTTAAAGCCCGACCGGCAGGTTGCAACCTTTTTTCTTAAGGTGCTGCATCTTGAGGTCCCTGTAACCGAGCAGCCAGCGTCAGACTTCAAAGAGCTCGCAATGGGTTTCAGCCTGGCAGGACACTCGGAACTTGGCAGTGATGCACCCCTGCCAAGTACCGAAGGGAGCACGAAGATTGAGTGGGTTTGGGGTAGAAACCTTAGTGTTCATTTTAAATCTCGGGCAGGTACACCCGAAAAATGATGCGTTGTAGTCCTGTGCTTCGTACCCCGAATTCGCGTGATGCGTTTACCTATGAACGTCAAAATCAAACATCCGAATTTTGTTTCTGAACTAATCTGCCCTGATTTTTCGTGACGAAAAAAACCAACCAGCTCACGCCCCGTAAACTTGGCAGAGCCAGAGAGGCTGCTCACTGCGGAAGGGAGAGGCGCAAAACTTGACAGCCCTCCCAGGTTTGTGAAGATGCTTTCTCGCGCGAAGCTGAAGCTCGCTCGGCGAAGCCCAACCTTCGCTTGAAATTTTTGCCTCGCTTTGTTTTCGTCAGCCAATCACAGTTTGCCGCCCCACCTACCTCCACAGTGCCAATATGCAACTTGCAAATCGGGCTTTAAGGTGTCATCCTGTACTGTGCATGTATCTCTGCATGTTACGCCCCAAATTCATTTTGCATTATACATAAGACATGGGCGTTATATTTTTCCAGCCTACTGTTACCGTAACTCCCATACGTTTTTTTAACGAATTTTTGACAAATACCCTAGGGTGTTATATACGGGGGAATACGGTACCCTCGCCTAGATTCCATATCACGGATTATTCCGAGCTATGCAACAGCTATATCAAGAGAAATGTCCTCTGGTCCTGGTACTTACAAGTGATGGTGATTTGATTTCATTGGATAGATCACACATAACGGAATTTTACCGTAAGCTATGCTCACTTACAAACAAGCAGTGCCTACAAAAAGGCTACGGCAGTGACAGCTAGTAGTACCAGTCGCCAATTGCGACTCACCATACAGCAGTTCCCCATAAAAATCCCAGGTGCCACATGCCCTTGGCAAGCCAACACCACTTGTCACCTTGTCAGTCTTGGTCAAACACTGGTTCCAGATTTTTTAACCACCAGGTAAAAAATCCCAACGGTATCCACAACCCACAACCTCAGCAGCGCGGGCGCCACTGATCGTATCCATGCCTGAATGCTCAACTCATCCTCCTCCACCCCCTCCCATCTCGCCCCACAGTCCCATCCCAACCACCCCTTCCCATATCTTAACACACTCACTCACTCACACACAAAACACGCACACATAGAGACAGATGAACGTGAACACACTAGTGGACAATCACACACACACACAGGTGACGGCTAAAACACACACACAGCCGTCCATTCAAGCTGCCGTGCCATGGCATGACTCAGAAGTCACCGGCATCCGTGCTATCCACAAACACTGTTTCCTGCTGCCACAACCCCCCAAGGCCGGTCTTCTTCTCACCAGCAGCCTCACCCGCCTTGCGCCCGCTCTTCCCCTGCCCCCCTTCCCTCTGCTTCAGTGGTCTCCTCTGCTTAGACGCCAGCCCTGCAGCAGCCAGAGCAGCAGCAGTGGCAGCGCTCCCTGCTGTCCCTCTCATGGTGCCCCCCTGCCCGCCTCCCACAATCCCTACTGCGCTCGCCACCACGCCCGTCACCGCCGCCGCAGCAGCAGCTATGGAAGGGCCACCAGGTGAAGCATTAGCTGCAGACGCTGCTGCAGCAGCAGCCGGGGAGGGGGTGATGGCAGGGATTTTGGGAACAAGGCTGGAGAAGGACGGGAGTGCAGTCTTCGGGGAAGGAACCTCAGGGGACGTGTCTTGAGCGCTCCCAGGAGGACTGGCTGCCTTGGGGACGAGGCTGGTGAAGGAAGGCAGAGTGGGCTTCTTCGCAGGGGCGTCCGAGGGGCCTTGTTGGGAGGTGTCGAGCGCTGTGGCGGCCTTGGGCACGAGGCTGGCGAAGGACGGCAGCACGGCCTTGGCTGGGGGAAGGTCGGAGGAGGTGCCCTTGAGGAAGCCCACCATGTCCGACACTGCTGCTGTCGCCACCTGAGAGTTCACCTGAGCCTTTGCCGCCTCTGCTGCCTCCCGTGCTGCCTTGGCTGGGATACCAAGGGAGAGGGCATGGGATGGGGGACAGGGAGACAGGACATGTGTGAGCAAATGTAGAGTTGAAGGGTGCTGTGAGAGGGGGAATGAAAGGCATTGAGGTACTCCCACTTTGTGCTGCAGCACATTGCTCTTCGTACGACCTGCAGGCACAGCCACCACACCACCCAGGACCGGTACCCACCTGCCATGGCTTCAGCAGCGGCCTTCTCCTCAGCCGCCCTGGCCAGCGCCTCTGCCTGCACGGCCCTCTCCGCCGCCTCCCTGCCTGCCGCCTCCCTCGCCACTGCTGCCGCCGCCTCCTGCTCCTCCTGCTCCGCTGCTAGTAGCCTGTTGGCGCGCCGGGGGTCAGGGGGAACGAGACTGTAGGGAGGGGAGGAGGAGAGTGAGGCGGGGACGGAGGGGGGGAGACAGAGAACAAGTGGGGAGAGTGAGCAGGGCGTAGGTGGGTGAGAAGGCGCAGGAGGTGGCATTGAGGGGAGGTGAGATTAGTCCTGTGTCATGCGCCGTGGTGTTGGCAGCCAATGGTGGTTCGCATGCAGTTCCATGCAGCTGTGTTTGCTTCTGGTCATCTATGGCCAGCACCGATGCGCGCTTGCACGCGTTGAACTGTCTCTGACATCCATAACCCACATCACCGTTCTTGCACGTCCGCCCTCCTCCTCGCCGTGTGCGCCCTATCCTCTCCCTTGCACGCGAGTCCCATTGAAGCCCTCTCTACGGGCGTGCGTCGCTTCCATGAGCCTGTTCCCAGCTTCCTTAAGTGGCCTGCACGCAAGTGCTAACCCATTGATCCACCCAGCAGCCCTCGCAGCCACCCACCAACCGTGCTACCCACCACCCCAGCAACCCTGACAGGCAGCCATGCGCTGTGGCAGGCAGCGGCGGTGGCAGCACATGAAGCAGCGCACCTCAGCATGTCGGCCAATGGGGTGGGCTGCGCGGCCTCGCTGGCCACCACGTCCAACGCCTGCAGCACGCGCACAGGGTTGGTGAACGGCCATGGGGCACACGGCAAGGGTTAGGGGCATGGGGCGGGCAGGTCGCGGAGCAGAGAGGTGAGGAGGGAGGGAAGACATAAAGGAGGGCACGATGACAAGGGTGGCGAATATGGGCCTGCTGCGCAGTGGGGATGGTGGGTAGTGGCTGGCCTTTACTCCGTGCCCTCTCTCGCCATGTGTGCATGCTGTCGCACGTGCATCAGGGTATAGCCGCCCAGCCCATGCAAGTGCACCACTATGTGTGAGCGCGTGTACTGTGTGTGGGTGTGTGTGTGTGTGAGTGTGCGTGTGTGTGTGTGTGTTGTATGTGTGTGTGTGTTGTATGTGTGTTCAAGTGCACCCAGCTTTCCTCTCCCCCTCTCCACACCCCCCACACCCAGCGTTCCTCTCCCCGTCCTCCCCCCCCACCTTATCCCGTGCCATCTTCGGGTCGCTCAGCAGCGCCGCCACCAGCTGCGCCACTTGCGCCCGCGATATCTGCAGGGGAGGGAACACGGGCATTTGGGATCGCATTGAGGGAGAAGGGGAGGGGGGAAGGGAGGAAGGGAGAGGAGAGGGCAAAGGAGGCGGGGGCTTTAGTGAAGGTAGGGAAGGGCGATGGCGGGGCGGAAGGCGAAAGACAGGATTCCAGCCCGGGCAGTCTCTTGCGACAGGTAGTGGCACGCGAATGAGAGAGCTGACAGGATTGCAGCCCGGGCAGCACCAAGGCGGCACCAAACCCACAGCTGACCCCACGCCCACACCCAACCACCCAAACATCACAACGCCCTCCCACAACTCACATGCTCCCCACTTCCTCCCTCTCCCTCCCAGCCCCCTTCTCCTCGCCCCCACCCCACCCCGCCCCCCACCCCCTCACCTTGCCGCTGTTGATGCTGCCTTCGGCCGCCACCACGAGGTTTGACCGCGCCATGAGGCTGTCGGGCACGCCGTCGCAGAACCCCGTGCGCACGATGCTGTACGACACCTCACTCTCCGCCAGCGCCGTCGCCAGGCCCGCATACGACACGCCGCGCCGCCCAATGGACCCCAGGAACGCGAGCATGGCGGACACAACGGTGCCGTCCCGCGCGCCCGAGCCCTGCGCGAAATCCGTCAGCAACACGAACTGCGACGCGCGGGCGGCTTCCGCCGCGCGCAGCAGGTCCAGCGCGTCCTGTGGGGACACCACGCCCGCGCTGCCCGCGCCGTTCTCCGCGCGCCCCAGCGTGACGACCACGGTGCCCGCGCCCGCCATGGCCTGCGCGGTGAAGTCGGGGTCTCGCGCGCTGTACTGCACCAGGGTCAGGCGCTTGGCGTCGCCCGCGCTGACTAGCGGCTGGGGGGAAAAGGGGATGGACACGGGGGGTGGGGAGGTGATGGGGGGAAGAAAGGGAGAAGGTGGAGGGGATAGGTGGGTGGGTTGTGGGGAGGCACGTGCGAGGGGATCTACCATTTGGCTCCGACTTGCCGCGCGGCGTATTGGTTTCGCCCTTTCTCATTCATCGGCGGCCTCGCAGCTTGGTTCCCATTCTATCCTCGCCCTCTCTCGCCGCCGAATACGTTGCATTCATTAACGGCCTTAATCTTACCTTTGCCCTCACTCCCCCCCCACTCCCTGCCCTTGTCCCCCTCCCCCTCCCTGCCCTTGTCCCCTTCCCCCTCCATGCCCTTGTCCCCCCCCCGTACCTTGAGTTGCGCCAGCAGCTGCTTCATCGCGCCCTTGTCCGCGTCCTCCGCGCCCGCGCGCACCTTGAATCCCGCCGCCAGCAGCTCCGCCACCACGCGCGACGCCGTGGGCCCCGCCGCGCCGCCCGCCACGAACACCGTCTTCGCGTCGGGCGCGCCGGGGCCGAGCAGCAGCGACGCCAGCCGCGCCACGGCGTAGAACGGCCCGGGCGACGCGGGAAGCTCCTCGGGGCGGGCGGGGGCCGCCGCGGCTCCGTCCTGCTGCGCGGTTTCCGCTTGCGCGGAGTCTCTTCGGCGGAAGATGAGCGTTCCGCGCGACGGCTGGGGTTCCTCCGCTCTGCCCTTCCGGGGAAGGATCTGCGTGCCGCGCTTGGTGCCGCGGACATTGCTAGTAGTCCCGCGTTGCGTCTTCGCGATCCGCTGCGTGCCGCGCTGCTTCGCCACGACCGTCAACCCGCGCGCGGATTCGAGCGGCCCGGATTCGCGGGGCTGCCCTGGGCGGGAGGCAGGAGCAGGCGGGCAGAGCGAGGGCGGCGAGCGGGAGGGCTGGGAGGGGAGAGCGTGGAGGCCATTGAAGGGCGTGAAGGCTGCGCGCGCGGACGGGCCTAGTGACTCATGGTCGTCGCGCAGGCCCCTGGTTCCCGCCGCTGCAGCGGCGACGGAGGCGGTAGCGGAACATGCGGCCACGGCCATGACGGGCGCGCGTGCAACCGCGCTGATTGCTGGTTGATGTGCTTGGCGAGATAGAAAGAAGAAAATGTTGGTGGGATGCGCGAATGATGAGGATCCGTGCAAGGGTATGATCCATGGGCTACGGCAATGCCATGGAGCGCACGAAATGAATTTGCCATGGGAATGCAGCGCGAGGGTTCCCTGGTGGGGCGAGGTGTGGCTCTGCTGCGGCGTACAAATGTCGGGATCGGAGCGGACGGTGTGATTTCGAGAGAATCCGAATTCGCGTGACATTAGCGGGACTCCGCAGCCGCGCGGCGCAAAGATCTGCGGTGGAACATGAAGGAGGTTGAACATCCAGAAATGTGAACTGGGCTGCGCGCCGACGGCTCGGCATCGTTGACCCCCAATATGAGGCCCAACCTGGGACGAACCAAGATGTTCGGGTCCAATTATGATCCCGACCTTGTTACTGTCAGGACCCTCCAACCAGCGACTTGGGGAAAGAAGTAGAGTGTGTAACAAACTTTCTAAAAATGTGTACTAGGTTGGCCTCTTCTCAAGGTCGGCTATAGCTGACTCTTTTGAATATGGAAGTATGGATTTCATGCCCCCAATTAGATGGAGATTGATTTTCAGGGATTGGATTTTTCCACGCTGAAATCCTATAACAAGGATAAGCGTTACACGTTGCATGGGCCTGACTTCTCTAGTGTCAAAAATCCGCGTATAGCTCGACAGGTTTCCAGTGTTGATAATGGGGTCGGTCACCCACCATTGTGCACAGCGAGTAACTGAATATGCTACATAGGCTGGCAGATGTGGATGAGGTGGCACACTGCATAAGAACCATGGGCCTACGGTTCTACGAAACATTGAAATGTCGCGAGGGTATTTCTCCTCGTAAACTGAAAAATGTTCGTGAACCGTCAGATTCGACCTCAAAACTTTGGACAGCTGAGATTAAGCCCCATAAGACTGGGGGTGCTCTGGAAAGGAGAGTTGGCTTGCGGACCGTCAGATGAAGATCTGTGCATATGGGAGGACAAAAAACGTATTGCACACGAAGTTCCAAAATACTGCGAGCAGTGAACTTGAAAAGCACCCCTGGAGTGACGAGAGGCACGTTACTGTCAACATATATATTCATGCATATATGTATAGGCTAGGTAGGTGTACTACACGTAATGGTTCTTACTGTAGAGGGGACAACTCTTCTCTTGTACCTCTCTCTCTTCTCTAGTCAACCCCTTTTCTCATCGCTAATCTTCTACCTAGCTCAACCGTTTCTCGACATGGTTTCACATCTCTGAAACTAGGATCTAGGTAGGAGGAGGAGCCATGAAAATGGCGTGAGGTTTTAGGTGCTAGAAAAGTTGATGAGAGAAAAGAGGACTAGGAAAGAAGAGAGAGGGATACAAGGAGGGGTGTTGTACCCTCTACATTAATGTTCAATAACCACTACCAAGCCTACAATTATAAACTAACATATATAATTTAACACACCCCCTAGGCTTGGTAGCAAGGACCCACACACCCCCACACCCCTAACCTAGCACCCCCATTCCCATCAGCCACGACAACTCCTGCAGGGCCAACCCCAAGGCCCTGGAGATGGCGACGGCGGCCGTCCCGGCAGCGGCGACAACGACGGCGACGACGGGCGTGCGGCGGCAACAGGCTTGCGGCGACGACAGCGGCGACGGCGACAGCTTCGGCTTACGACGGCGGTAATGGCAGCGGCCCCCGCCCTTCCGGCGGCGTGTCCAAACTCCGCGACAGGGGGAAGATCGGCGAGAGTCAGGAGGCGGCTGTGGCGAAGAGGAGGGGACAGAGGAAAGGGGGAACGGGCGGGGCTTCGGATCTTCAGCGCGGCGCCATTGCTGGCGCGGCGCTTACTGGCACGCGGGCGGGCTGCAAATCCAGCAGCGACGCAGGTGGTGCGAGACGACACCAGGCCGACGACACAGCCACGGCATCACGACGGCGCCACCACATCGTGGCGTCGTCGCCGCGGCTGCTCGTCGACGTTGGGACGACAGCGCACAAGGGCCGCCGCGGCAACTTGGAAAAGGTGCCACGGCGGCAGGCAGTAGGAAGGCCGCGACGGCGGCGAACAGGGGACAAAAACGCAGTGGAAGCGTGGCCCGTGCGACGCGACGGGGCCAGCGCGGAGTGACGGGGCCAGCGCGGCGCGACGGGGCCAGCGTGGCATGACGGGGAGGGAGTGCGCGGCGGAAGCGAGGGGAGCAGGCCCGGGAAGGGAACCGGCTCTGTTACCATGTCTGAAACTAGGATCTAGGTAGGAGGAGGAGCCATGGAAATGGCGTGAGGTTTTAGGTGCTAGGAAAATTGATGAGAGAAAAGAGGACTAGGAAAGAAGAGAGAGGGATACAAGGAGGGGTGTTGTACCCTCTACAGTAATGTTCAGTAACCACTACCAAGCCTACAATTATATACTAGCATATATAAATTAACATCACAGCAGGTCCATCCTGCCGGCCCTTCTCCCTACGCTTCCGCATCGCACTCTCTCCTCTCCTCCCACTGTCGCGCCGCCGTGGCGGCCTCGTCGCGCCGCCGTGGCGCGGCCTTGTTGCGTTGCCATGGCGGCCTCGATGCGCTACCGTGGCGGCCTCGTCGCGCTGACGTGGCGGCCTCGACATGACGGCGCATGGACGGCAGCCGCCAACGCGCTGGTTTAGTGCCAGCCAGCTCGCCCGCACACTAGCCAGCACACCAGCCAACGCGCCAGCCAGCGCGCCAGCCAGCGCGCCAGCCAACGCGCTCTAGCCGCCCCCTGACTCGCTAACTACACCAGCCGTCGAAGGCCTGCCCCCCCCCCCCCCTCGCCACCCCCCCTCCCCAGAGTAGTTGATGGCTTTAACAAGCCGTCCTTCCCTGTCGTTGAAGAGACGTGCCACGCCGCCAGGTGCCGCAGGCTCCGCCGCCGCCGCCGCTACTGCTGCTGCTGCCGCCGCCGCCGACGTCGCCGCCTCGCATGCCGAGGGGCCGAACCGGCTGTAGAATGCCGCCGCTGCTGCTGGGTATAGGGGTGCTAGGGCTTGGGGCTGCTGGGCTTAGAGGTGCTGGGTGTGTGGTGTGTTATGACATCCAGTGGACAGACTAGTAGTGCTGCCCTGGTTTCTTACTTCTGTGAGTAGCGCCAACCAAGCCTAGGGGTGTGGCAACATATATATTTATATATGTATATATATATCTATATATATATGTGTGTAGGCTAGGTGGGTGTACTACACGTACTAGTTCTTACTGTCGAGGGGACGACTCTTCTCTCATACCTCTCTCTCTTCTCTAGTCACTTATCTCCTCGCTAATCTTCTACCTAGCCTAACCCTATCTCGACAGTTACCCTACTCTACACCCCCGAAAGCGCAATTTTGAAACGCAATGCGTTTGAAGGTTGTCACCTCTAATTTGGGATGCGGGTTTTTAAGGAGTGCGAGGAGAGAGAGAAGGGGGAGGGGGGGGCGGGGGTCTGGAGGAGGGGGGTTTGGGGGAGAGTGGGCGGAAGGAAATGGTGGGTTTCATTTGAGCGTGTAACAAGAAAATGGACGACTTCCCTGGGTGAAGTAAGATGTGAGTCGAGAGTCACATGGAGAGCAGGCAAGTATGCACGAAGAAGCTGCGGACTCCACGTCAGGAACCGAGGAGTTCGCACGGGATATATTGTGTGCAATAGTCGTTAAGACTAAACTGCCTATAACCCATGCATTAATTTCGACCCACCAGAATACTATAGTTATGGAGTGGCTATGATGCAAAGTTCTCTTCAATGATGCAGGCATGCTTACGGATGATGCACGCATTGAATTGGCATGTCAATTTTTTTGTGGGGCAGCTCTCAATTGATGGTACATAGTCTGCAAGCAATGACTCTAGCAAGGCAGTCACAAGCCAATGACACGGCGCCCACAACTTGCTCTCGACTTGCTTGTTGTACCTGTCTCGTCTCATGCTCGTATATTGCTTTATATCTTGCAAAGGTTACAATGTATGATGGACCACATATCAGCCTTCCGAACAGAGTGCGTCCAGATCAACGGTCTCCATGATACGACGTTATCGCCACCAGACTCCACACCCAATGATCAACAGTCTATAACAATTGAACTCTGAAAAAATCTGATGTGGGTAACCAAATCACGGGCGTCAAGACTGTCTGGAGTGGAAGAAAAAGTAGGAGAAAGACCCGGAGAAGCCGAGAAATGGAAGTCATCACTAGCAGACTGCCCCCTTTTGGTGCAGTTTGATCACCCAACCATTCTCACCCCCATCGAGTTGTGCTACGGGTATGTGAGATATACCTTAATTGGCCTAAGAGAGGAATCAAATTTGTGGATTCCTTTGTGCATATAGAAGTTCAATTCATGAGGAAGAGGAAATATTTATCGACGACGGAGCGAGAAACAACTTGTTCAACATGGTTACAAGAAGTGTCTACCTAGGTTTACTGGTACACCTACGGTGATACGCAAGCACGGAACGAAAGCCAGAATTACCAGTAACAACAATTTCGTTTGATGTGCCGATCATCTTGCAACAACACTTGACTGCGACAACATTGTCTAAAAATTGACTGGATGACCGCCCCTATGGCCTCTTCCCCTCAAGTTTCATCATAGGTCTCCACATCTCCTCCCTTCACACTAACCTGGTCTCCTAACGCGCCCTTCAAAAAGCAGGTGTCACTACCATCTATCCACGCTTTTCCTCCCACTGTGACCTACCACGTCCCCACCGGTAAACTCCTCTCCTGTGTCCTCATCTTTCCTACCTGTCACATATATACCTTCCACAACTCCGGCCCCTCTCACTGCCACATAGCTACTCGTAAACCCCCTCCCCCTTTCTTTCCCATGCCCCCCCCCCCCCCCCCCCCGCCCCCCCCCCCCCCCCCATGCCTCCTGCCTCGCCTTCCCCTGATCGCGTGCCCTACTATTGTCATTGTCGTGACTTGTCCTGTGAGAGTACGACCCCGTTACACTTCTGTCTCATTACTACATTTCTTTTCTGTCTCATCCTCCTTTTTCCCCGGATTCATTTGGTGTTTATCTCATCTCATTTGTTTCCCTATT